TTTGCTGCTTTCTGAAAATTCAATGCTTTTTCATTTACGAGCTCTCTTCTGTCTTTTCACACATTCTTCTTGACTTACTTAATATATTATATTTACTCTATTGTTGACAGAGAGGAATTTTACGGTTTCTGGTCTTTTCATCTTGATAGAATCGATCATAGATCATTAGATATCATGATTTGAAGATATATAACAGTAAGCTTTTTTGGGCTACAGCGCACAGGAATCGCACTCAAATACACTCACTTTCGCATGGCTGTCACCATGTGGTAATGTACGGGTGACGACAGCGACCTCATGTCATATTAATATTCACATCTAATTTATGAATATTTGTGCATATAATAATACTTTTATGCATATATGCCTATTTAGGCGGTGTGTTGCATCCAGTGTTGCTTTTTTTTAAAGCTTTAGCCGCGTGATGCCGTGCCGACATTACTGCGATCTTGCTGCGATCAGTAAACGGTCGTAAACGTTTTGTGACTCCCGCCGGTTCGCCAGCAGGCAAATCCGCTGGTGTAAGACATATACCGTTGTGGTTTCAGCCACAGTGAGGGGCGAGCTAGCTCTACTCGCCCCTCCCACTGGGCGGTACGGTGCCCTATGCTACTAGCCACGGGCGGTATTTCAACGACGTCTCAACTTACTGTACTTATAGCTATACGTGGTCAAACATAACTATGGGACCATTCTTATGCGAGGCGGCCAGTTTTATCACTTACTATACATGATATTAGATGATTGTTTGCAGAAAAACGAGCTAGTTAAAATAACTGAATCGACGCTTATTCATAAAAGAATAATTATGTGGTTGTTTGTTTGTAGAATTGATGGTGCACAAGTTGAGCTTGTGTCATCTTCGTCGCGTTGGGGGTCATGGTAGTTGCGTATCGAGTGACGTATGTATACACATTTGCTCTAACGTGTGGTTGACATTTCCGTATGTAACGCAGGATACGTGATCAAAATATCTTACACGGTTGTTAAAGTAAATAATTTTAAGGCGTCCGTCCCGCAAGGGAGAACAACCAGGTTGATCAGTTTAGCGCTATGCAGACGTTCATTCGGAATGTATAATATGTTTACTTTACACTCAAAAGAAACAAAATTATGTTGTTTTGTGCCAAAACCCCTCGTGATTCGAAGGGTTTACATGGGTAGACTTCTACCTACATACCTCTATCAGACTTCTATCTACATACCTACAGGCTCCTGCGTAATGCGATGGCAGACAAAGAGATGAGCGATGGGACAGACTTATTTCTGCTAGGAATTACGTTTGGCTTTTGTATTCTTAGTCGTCGTCACCGCTCTCGTTTTGCCTTTGTCGTCATTATTGTTGTTATTGTCGTTGATGTTGCCGTTGTCGTAGCTACTTGGCGTTGCATGTCCGTTTACAGCTACTAACGATACCTCTGGGCCACATCATATAGCTCATTTAGGGTCTATGTTCCCCAGGGTACTGCCGGAACGTCCCTGGGTACGGTCCGATATACCGGAACGTACCCTGGTAACTATTTGATATGGTTAGGGTTAGGGTTAGGGGTTAGGGTATAGGGTTAGGTAGTAGGCGTAGCGACTCCCTAGACTCGTTAGTGGAGTAGGCGAGGTACGGTCCGGCATATTAGATAGTACCCGGTACGTTCCGGCAGTACCCGCGGGGACATAGACCCTCTCAGCTCTAGTATATATAGTAGTCTACGTCTATACATGCTCTCGGTATGATTCCAAGTGAGTTCCAACTGTGAATAAGCAAAGCGTAAGCTATTGATTGTTCGCGTTGCGCCAGTTTCAGCCACCAATGGATGGCCGTGAGCGATAGCTGACGATGGCAAATTTGCGTCTAATGCCCGTTTTTTATTAACCTGGCCCATAGTCTGTCCCTTTTACTGCTTATTAGACGTCCTCAGACTTGTTTGCCTTACGGCGGCCCTGTATCGTTACTTTATATCAGGAGTTTATAGAGGGCTAGTAACCCACGATCACAAATGGAGACACTCGTCTTGCATAACTTTATCGCGGACAAACGCCTGCAAATATACATGACGTTAAATGAGGTTGGCGATTCGGCCAAGTTACGACAGCTGACACATTCATGTTCCCTCTCCGCGTCACCCTACGGATTTCCAACATGATGCTTGCGACATTATTTTACACCACAGACTATGAAACGATTGGATGCACGTATAGCCATTGTATACACGCCCTTGATCAAACGCGTTCCACTCTATATTGCGCATGGGTAATGAAGTCGGGCGATGAAGGCTTTGGGAGTTCACAGTCATTACGCGCATTGCCCTACACTAGAGAGGACTGATTCGCCGTAGGGGGGATGTAGGCCTACACCCGCGCCCGCCCTCAACAATCAAGGCAGCAGCTCGCAACTCCCGTACGCGCGCCACAACGACGCTCCGCTTGCGGGCTTTACACTATCGATAAGTCGACGACGTTGATAACCCTTTCAACGTTCTATCAGCACTTTCTATCAGATGTTCACCGGTTTTACAATTATCGACCGCGAGTTGGCAAACGTTTCCACATTTGCGACCCGCAGTATATGCGCGGGGGCGACGTGGATACGCATTTTTCAGTGTGGCGCCGATAGCAAAATCGCGCGCGCAAATACTCAGTACTCTCAAGAGTAATAAATAACATTATCTACTCTTGGTACTCTCCATCTGGCAGAGGGACGCACCTCCTGATTGCTATTATCGGAGTGGCTGCGTGCGCAAAAAGTTGATCAACTCGCTGACAAAACGTTGAGAAATTGGAACATGTTCTAACCTCTTCAACTGGTTGATATCAACCAGTTTGAGCCGCTAAACTTTTACGTTTACACTGCGACTGTCGGTCGATTGTTGAAAGGTTTATAAACCTCGTCAACCTTTCAGCAAAAAGTTGATAGTGTAAAACCAGCTGATTGTTCATACACATGACTGTGTGGACATTGCGGACGTTGCCCGTATGGATCTCTCTCTCTTTCTCTCTCTCTCTCTCTCTCTTCTCTCTCTCTCTCTCTCTCTACTCTCTCTCTCTCTCTCTCTCTCTTTCTCTTCTCCTCTCTCTCTCTCTCTCTCTCTCTCTCTCTCTCTCTTCTCTCTCTAATATATATATTATATATATATATATATATATATATATATATACTATATATATATATATGAGATTTTATTGTTTCCGAGAAACGTTGCAGATAAAGCAGCGGCAGCTTGGTGGGGAATTCCCAATCATAACCTATCGCTTCCAAGCCGATAGTATACAGTAAACACCGCATAAAAGAACCCGTGATTTTTAAGAACTCCAGGCTGAAATTGGACAAAAAGCACCTATTATATAAGAACCTCTTCAGCCTGAATAATTAAACAGGTTCTTATATATAAAAAAAATGCCGAAAATTAGAGCAAACTGGGGCAATCCAAGTATGTGTGCTACACCATTGGAAACTGTCTACTATATTAGTCAAATCAATTTTCACAGAATTTGACATTTCATTATGTTTAATATAATAAGTAAATTAAAGGTGATAAATAAAGTAACTCAAATGAATTTAAACAGACATATAATTTCTAATATTAAGCAGTTGGTTAATTAATTAGTGTCACTTATTCACTAATTAAACGCCAATTTTACCTAGATAATGTACACAATATCCCCCCCCCCAACAAAAAAACCTCTTTAAGAACCTCTTCAGGCTGATTTCTCACTATGTACCATATATATATAAGAACCTCTTCAGCCTAGCTGAAACAGAAAATCACGGGTTCTTTTATGCGGGTGTTTACTGTAGTCAATGTATCCGCAGACACACGTAGCGGCTGTTTAGACACAGCCTTTACTCTAAATAAGCAAGTCACTGCTTCGCGGCTGGCTAGGATCTGTCATATAGGGAGGGATTCGGCAGATAGGCATGATATACCAGTGTCTGTGTGTATGAATCCTGAACCAGGCGTGATCACCTGCAATTCTAGCTCACTAGACATATAAGATTGGTGGGAGTCAGTAAAAAGCTTTACACATGCTCGAGCATGATGATGATGCGAAATTATACACACCGGATCCGCGAGTTTAATTCACCGGCTCCGAACTCATTGTTGTAAGTCATCGATAAGATGTCGATACTCGAGTGAAGAGAATATTCTTACCGTGATCAAGTTTGTAAGTAAATTTCGTGTATTTCAGTTCATGTGCATACTGTTCATGTTGAGGTATGTTTCGATATTAAAATCGGATATAACGCGGCAGCAGAACAAAATATAATCATGATATAATCAAATAATAATAAATCATAACGCATTATCGCGATACTGGATCGAATATAAGTATACAAATTGTTATTGTTATATTAATTTTATTGCTTTAATTAACACGCTGAGTCAATCACTATAATCAAACTGAATAACAATCATACATGCTGATTACGACAAAGGCACAAATATGTGAATCATCTTTCTACTAGCATAACGCGCGTGTGGTTGGCTGCATCTAAGTATATGAATGTGCATTGAAAAACTTTAATATCGACCTATAGCGTTACTTACGGGAGTTTAGGATTATCGGATACGAACGCGCTGTCTGTATTACCCAGGGTAAAAACACCATTTCTCCATAAAAACGACGCGCTACTCAATAGCAATCCGTCATTTGAACGATGGATCCCTTTCTAAAGATTGTTCGAGGAAAACAGAGTGCACACCCTGGGTATAAAAATGCGCAGTACATAGCAGTTCAATGTTATATCATACAAGCGCTCACTGCCGCAGCCTCCACTATGTAGAAACAAACGGGTCCGTAACATTGACAATCGGGAATCTTTTGAATCTCATTTAAAATATAAATTACAAGCGCGTAAACCGATGCGCTCGATATAATTGTACGTCACAACACTGGTGTTGTACCGTCACGGGAACTTCGTTATTATAATATCTTCTGCAGATCTATAGCGCATGCATGCACGCAAGAAGGCTTGACAAATTGATGTACGAGCGCCTATCCGCGTATAGCCCCCTGTCCGCGTAAATGAAAGGTCCTAACTACAATTCAAAACATTTCTCGCTATATACTGCGTATTGTTGGCCTGGGTATTACGACTACATTTAATAATTCCGCGAACTTCCAGTACTCTGTCTAATGTCTTGTTTTATGTTTTCGGGTGTGATTTTTTCATTTGTTTGCATTTACCATTGAAGCTTTTCAAGTATATGACTTCATGTTACATATAACATTACTTGTTCATTACAGGTGAACATAGAGATGCCCACTAGGCAGGATTCAGATAACCTGCCTGTGTATTCGCCTATAAAATTTGTAAGTAGTTTCATACATTTTGCTGTTGTAATTAATCTCACATTGATTGCAGTTGGCAGGCTAATAATTAAGCAAACAGTAGACATTATTGTCAAGTAATTACGCGAACGAATGTGGCAAATAATTATTTCAGCATCTTAGTCGTTTACATAGGACCGTGATTTATTCTTATCTATTTTTGCTATCATATATGTCCATACAGACGTTGACACGTACTACGAACTTTCGCAAAGATAAGATGTATAATTTATATGTAAACAAACACCTCCATCGTGCCGTTATCGTACAGTGACTAACCATGTATATATATATATATATATGCGCATATATATATATACATAGAAATTAATAATATGTCTGTGTGTGTGTGTGTGTGTTTGTGTGTGTGCGTGTGTGTGTGTGTGTGTGTGTGTGTGTGTGTGTGTGTGTGTAAGTGCGTGCGCGCGCACAAATATATCAGAATGAACATTGACCATTTCTTGTGCCATAAATTATGCGCGAATATTCTGTCATTCCATCTCCAGTTGTATCAATTGTGGCAAATAAAGCAAGACTCATCAAGACAGACGGGTAAAATACCCAGTCACGTCAGCTACATAAAATTTCTATTGTTATATATTCATGTAAATTGTGTGCAAAAAGGAAGTGAATTAAGTTAATTCGCGCAGTGCGTGGTTTCCTCATATTTTATCAAGTGACATTATTGAGAACGAAATTACGGAATGATATACCTGAAGCTGAATATCCAAGTCAAGTCTGACCGGATGTTTTATAACAACATTTAGCTGGTATAGAAGCATACAATGTAGACAAATGTGGGGTTTACTCGGCTCGATCACTGTGAATACACCCCGCACACGTATGTGTTGTGCATGGCGTAGAAGTGCAATATAATTTGTGTTAATGACAGGAAAGTCTAGAACTTCAAATGTACTCATTCCTAGCTATAGCCAGCAACATTTAGCGTGTGTCTGTCAACAGGAATACTGAAAAGGCATGTGCAAACTCACCAGCAGTAGGAAGTACATGCATTTAATGTCAAACTGAGATTAGATATCTTATCAATCTATGTTATCTTACTATTCTATCAATATCATTAATCTATCTTATTAATATTGAATACAAAAACAGATATAATAGCTGCAAGTACGTTTTAATAGTTAACATAAAATAGACGCGTGCAAGCAAAGGGCAGGCGTAGGTGTTGACCTATTCAGCCAGCAACGATAGCTACGAAGCGTTTGTTGCCAAAGTACACTTAACATTAAGCGACAGTGTGCCCTCACAGAAGTATTAAGAACGTGCCATAGTGCAAAAACACGCGAGGCTTGCAGGTTCAGCCAATTTGTCACAATGTGGGCCTTGGAAATGGAAAAATTTAACGACGAGGATGAAAGCGATACAGATATTCCGGAGATCCGGCAAGTAAGTACCTTATAGCAAGCAATCTGGAACGCGACGTGCTTTCGTTGATGCGTTGGATGAGCTGCCTTGGGCAAAGGGTTCATGCATCGGCGCCATCGCTATAGTTTCATGAAACTGTGCTCTTCTTTTTTTCAGAATGCTAATAGGTTTTCTACTGCGCAAAAGGTTCTCATGGCCATTGCGGTGAGTCATTTGTTGGAATAAACTTGTTCTAATAATAATAAATAATGTTTTAATAAGAAACAGGTTGGAAAGCAGCATGTCGTAGAGCACAAGCTATTATAGTTCCAAAACTTAAGTTTATCCATTTACTTCCAACGAGGCAATTTTCATGAGTAATTTTCTGTAATATATTTACTATACAATTCAGACATGTATTCTTAGTACAGTTATTTTGTTGACTTTTGCATATTGTATGTATCAAGAGTAAAATAATACACACATGCATATATTAGGTAACTCCTGTATATGTCCGTATAAGTATATATTAGCATATGTGAAGCATTATTTCGAGCGTAACGTATTAATATTCTACGCGCGCAATAAAAATATGAATCAGATTTCAGAAAATGAAAACATTGTATAACAACGCAGTCATTTAGTCATGCCTAGTATTACTAGTTGGTATATGTTAAAGAAATTTAACAGCAGTTCACGTTCGATAGGCTTACTGAGAATGAAAAAGACCGCGTATTGCGTTATGATAATGTTCATATTATGGCCTGATCATTGCGCTCGTAATAATCTGTGCAGTCTGAATAGTGCTTTCCGACATAGCTGCTCCACACACACACGCACGCACGCCACGCACACACACACACCTCACACAACACACACACACACACACCACACCACACACACACACAACACCACACACACACACACACAAATACACACACACACACACACACACACACACACACACAACACACACAACACACACACACACACACACACAGCTGATTAGGATCTGTACCTCTCTCTCACCTCTCTCTTCTCTCTCATCTCGCACTCTCTATCTCTATCTCACTTTCTCACTTTCTTTCGCGTCTCGGCTCCCACCCCTTCCCCCCCCCTCATCATCTCTCTCTCTCTAAAAGCGACTCAACCCTCTTTCGACACATAGAAGCATGCTCGCACGCACACGCACACGCACGCCACACGCACCACGGCGCACACACAAACCGACATAATGATGCTTTAGATTTTCAATTGGTTATCTGTGCTAACCCGCAACCCTAGAAAATACTTGTATTCGTTTTTCATAGTTATATAAACACATATTTGAGCCTGGACAACTGGGACTATGTACCCAGCGAAAAATATTATGACCTCTCTCCGTGATATTCCTAAAATCAGCGAGAGGGAGGGGGGAAGGTGTGACGGACAGGGCGCGGAGGAGTGGGGAACGACGGAACGGACGGGGGAAAGGGGGGGGAGAGGAGGGAAGGAGGGGAGGAGAGGAAGGTGATCGGGGGCGAGCCGACGGCGCGGAGGAGGGCGGACGGCGCGGGCCGACGCGGGCCCAAGGCTCGAAGCCCCGAGGTGCATACACGAGAGCGGAGGCACGGCGGACCGGAGGGCGAAGCCGCGGGGAGCGGCGGCGGCGAGGGAGGCAACGCGAGAGGCCGCCAGTAGCAGACAGGGCAGCGGGAACCCTCCGAATGAAGTGTCCGGCGGACGCGAGCCGGAATTCCAGCCCAGCGCGCCATGTGGCAAGACTGAAGTAAAGCCCGAGGAATCAGACAAAGGTCCGTCTCCAGCTAAACGCTAAACTCACTAAGCAGGACAAGTGCGGGCGGACGTCACCACGAGCTGACGCCTCCCGAAGCGGGACGCAGGCGAGGGTTGAGAGAAGCTGGAAGGGCGAGAAGGACGACGAGAAGAGAGGAATTTGGCAAGAAGGAAGAGAGAGAGAGAGAGAGACGAGAGAGAGAGAGAGAGCATCATAAGAACATAAGGGGCTCGGAAACACGCTAACTAGCCTCCGCACTAACAAGCAGCCCTCCCTCCAAAAACCCAAATCCTCAGAGGCGACCCCAAATTTCCCCTCCACGCGTTGAATGAGACGGTCAGCTACGTTCATTAAACACAATTAAAATACGTGTACTACACGTATATATACAGACCGTACGTACTTACCCCCAATTTGCTCTTCTACATACGTCACAAACATCTTTTCGATAGTGGCGCCCACCTTCCATAGATGCCAACACTGATCATTGAAGATAGTAATGATTTTTTTTTTTATTGCCGAAGGCGTTGGTGGGGTGGGTTAAGGGAGGGTGATTGTCCCCTCCCTTTAATGGGGGTCTGGGGTTTCTCCCAGGATTAAAAAAATGGAAGCCATTCGGCTGCATCCTGGAGCCATCTGGGCATTGCTTTGAATCCTTTCAAACTGAACAATTTTCCCCCACAAAAATACAAATATTCACCCAAATGTATAGTGTTAACGTTGAAAATATGTTTGATATGTATGAATAAAGAAAGAATCCAACCTTGTGTATTAAACTGAATAAACCTTAATATCTTACTCACCAGTGTAGTCACACTTGCACACAGAGACAAAAGAAACGCGCACAACGCGCTTAAGCCGTGTGTGCTTACTCTCGCGACACAAACCAGACTCCTCCCGACTCCTACATCTCTGTCCCTCAGCCTACCACACATCTTTCTCCCCCAAATATATAAACTAACCCCAGCCCTATTGTCCCTACGCTCATTTCACAATGAACCTAGAAACGCCCCAAACCTAAAACACGTTTACCATTCTCCCTATACATAAATATGTAGCCGCACAAGACGACGCCTCTGTCTACATAGATTACCACTAAAACAACCCCGAGTCTAAGCCGCACTCCGCGTCTCTAACTAATTTATGTAACACTTTGTGTAAAACATATGTTTACAAGTAGTGAATGTGATTGTAATTCAGACACAAAACAAAACTTTAAAAACTTTAAATGTCATTAATGGTCATAATAACAATATAATAATTATGGTCATGGTCATATATTAGTTTGGGGTCTTAATTGTCATTTAGGTTAGGGTTATGGTTTAGGGTTAGGATTATCAATCATTAATCATTAATCATTAATGATATCAAACGTTGGGAACACTCCTAATGGAGCGTTAGGCCCATAAAACACATTGCTTACATGCAAAAAATCCTGTACAGGGCATACAATTAGTCGTCACAAAATGAGCCCTTCATAGTCCACAGTCAGTGTCACACAAAGTCCACAATCTGAATCAGTGTTACAAAATCCTAAATAGACTGAGTTAATAGACTGAGTTTATAATAGAGCCCTTCAAAGTTCAATCACAACTCCTTAACAGGCTGAGCCCTTCAAAGTCCCCAGTCACTGTCACACAAAGTTAACAATCAGTGTCAGAAATCCTAAACAGACCTCCAAAGTCCACAGTCAGTGCCACACAAAGTTCACAATCAGTGTCACACAAAGTTTTACAGTCACTATGCTAATTTAGCAGCAGCAGCAGCAGCACATGCGCCCGCCGATGATCACGGCATCATTAGCTCCCTCTCGATGCGCCCACCTGCGCCCACCGGCGCCCCCTATTGGCGCTCGCTTTAACAGAGGACGAGGGTATATAACGAGGAGAGAACACGCTGAAAAGCAGTTTTTCAGCTGTAAAAAGTTGACTTCCACAAGTCGAAACTAGTCGTTCATTGATTGCTAACTTTGTTTAGATTTTAGTCACCAAGACGTTCGCATAATATGATAATATGGCATCTAAGAATAAGAATATTGAACCCACGTAAGGTAGTACAGTGGATCTGTGCGACGGTCTCTTCCTCACATATAGTATTTCTAAATAGGTGGAGGTAGGGTGGTATATATATATATATATATATATATATTATATTAGGTATATTAGGTATATATATATAATATTACGGACACACAAGCACAGACACACACGCTCTCTCCACCTCTCTCTCTCTCTTCTCTCTCTCTCTCTCGCTCTCTCTCTCTCTCTCTCTCTCTCTCTCGCTCTCTCTCTCTCTCCTCTCTCTCTTCTCTCTCTTCTCTCTCTTACACACACACACACACACACACACACACCCACACACACACACACACATACACACACACACACACACACACGCACGCACGCAGCGACACGCACGCACGCAGCGCGCGCGACACGCACACACACACACACACACTACATACACACACACAGCACGCCCGTGCGCGCGGCGGCGCACACACACACACACACACACACACACACACACACACACACACACACACACACACCACGCACACCCATACATACACACACACGCGCGCCCACACGTCGGTATAGTAGCTAGGTCGGTATAATAGTAGTCGGGTCGTAGTAGTAGTAGATTAATTATTGTTTTATTGTACATTCGCGTTCTAATTAAAGCCAGGGGCGCTTCTAAGCCAGAGCGAGCATAATTGCGGAACTAATATGGGCTTATTTTACGGATCTACCCTGTCAAGTTATTGTTGTTATTGTAATGACATGGGACGTCGTGCTCGTATATATACGTGGCCCCACCGCGCACCATAATGATTACAGACGCGCGTTAATATGTCACTAATAGTAGAAGAAGCTGGTGAGAAACTGGTTCGGATTGTAAGGCGTCCGGGCTGTTTTAGGCAGCGTATAAAATTAATAGGCACGGACATACAGAGGAGTCACACCATTAAATAGTAATTATTAGATTCAAAGTTATTATATGGAGAGTCACACAGTTACTACGTAGAGAGCCAGAGAGAGATCGATACGAGGCGCCGGAGCCTAGGCACCTAGGCATGGTTGCCTAGGCTGTGGTATTGTATATATTTGTATATGTGTCAAATAATAAAGACAAAGTTACCTACAACTAATCTGCGACTCTGTTTCATTCGGAACCTGACTAACAAGACTCTGCAATCATCTGCCGGACGACTCTTCGCTACATCTCATCTACTTTGCTACAATCTGCTACTTGCTACATCGCTACTACGCTGCTATACATTCTACGAGAACCTGTTGGAGATTATCACCCAAACAGAAGTACAATATTAGTAACAAAATTGTTGTTTCTAATGCAGGTTGCATCTGTTATCGGCGTGTCATTGTTTCTTGGTATCTACATTGGCAACATGATACAAGCCAAGCCTGTTACGAAACAAGCTAGACAATTGTAAGTATAAGAACATAGCACCGTAACAATAAAACAGTATACGGCATGAGTATAATATTAAAACATAACAGTATAATTGTATGACAGTATAGCTGTATATAATAGCTGTATATAAAACAATAAACACCAGCGACCCTATAACATGGGCAATCCTGTTAATTTAATGTTTATCGTTTCAATTAATAATTGTATAATTATTAATAACTCGAGTAACACCCATGTTCCATCATATATATATATATATATACCTATATATTAACATCGCAGGCCACTGACTGCAACCACAATAAAGACATCCACGGTGACAAGCAAACCTATTAAAACCTCGCTCACGCGACCGGACGTTACTTCACCCACTCAGACTGACGAGACGTCAGCAACGACTGCATCAAGTTCCTGGCGAGATCAACCATGTATTGCGGAGAAACAATGTCCTGAAGGGTAGGGCAAGGCGAGGGGGACTGCATTGAATACAATCAAGAGTCCATAATAGAAAACTCTATCATGGACTCTTTATATAATCAATGCAATAACAGAGAATAATATAAAAGCCTGATCGATTGGTTTGGGATTTTTTCAGAATAATCGTCTCTACCCTTCTATTCACAGTGTTTTCCATCGTGGCAGGATCTACACGCGTGGCAATAGGTGCTGTGTGAGACTGTAGATGTTACTGAATACGTTAAACGTCGCCATGCAGTACACAATAATTCGACTGAATAATGCTAACCGATGTTATCAGCCTTTTTAGCGACATCAACGTTTTCTCTGTTGCAGTTTTTCTGAGTCACCAGTGATTCTGGTTTCACTGGATGGATTTCGTGCCGAATATCTGCTGAGGAATTTCACTCCTACTTTACAGAGATTGCGGGAGTGTGGGGCCCATGCCACCCACATGCGTGCCTCCTACCCTTCAAAGACCTTCCCCAATCACTATTCCATTGTCACCGTGAGAACTTCTCTTGTAGTTTTTGTGCGCGTGTGTCAGCATCAACGTGTTTTAAAATCGAAGCATTGAGCTTAATGCAGTACGATAATGTTCCACATAGTTAAATGTTGCTACAAAACAATTACAATATTTTAGTATGGAAAATATTCTGTGTACTGGTTTTTGCAGATCACTTGCATAATGTTTACAATGCACAGTTTTGCAACATTTTAATGTTTGTATGTATACAACATACAGGGTCTATATCCCGAGTCACATGGAATCATAGATAACAACATGTATGATCCGGAGTTCGGGGCTTCGTTTAGCCTGGGTTCTCCAGAATCGTATAAGAACCGATGGTGGCAAGGAGAGCCGGTATGTGTTATTATTCACTTAGATTCGCGTAAATAGTTACTCTTTGAATAAACACTAGATAATGGCCCTCGTGTGAGTAGGTAGACGACATAATATAATTTGCAATCAAAGCTGCTGTTATCAGCATGACATTCTCGTCTCATTAATTCTAAATAACTCGGTTTAAGTAGTGCAAATTAGTTGTAATTTGTGCATGTCATCAGAAATACAGAATAACCATGAATGTATTACGTATTCATGATGTCATTTATGTGCGTGCATCGCGCCAGCACGCATTTGCATGCATAAGCGCGTTCGTGAGCGAAGTTGGGGAAGTGCGCGTGTGCCTATGTGTGAGTATGTGAGTGGGGGTGCGTGCATGTGCGGATGCATGAAATCAAGAGCTAATAATACTTTTTATTTACCTTTAATACCTTTAATACTTTTAATACCTTTAAGGTATTATTATTAAAGGTATTATTAGCTCTTGATGAAATGTGTATGTATATAAACCGAGTGTCAAATAACATTGGAGAATTTGATGTTATTGCCCAGGTTTGGAATACAATCGAAAAACAAAACAAGAAGGCTGCTACGTTCTTTTGGCCAGGTTCCGATGTTGATATACAGAGTACGTACGCCCTTTGATATTGTGTTTTTAATTTGATTTTTAAAAGCAATACAATGGATTTATAAACAGCTGCTTATAAGCGACCTACAATAACTCTTAGCATTCTTATATTATAACGAAAGACAATCAAGACATTTCGCAGATATTACGAAAATGAAATGGTTGTAAAATATTTAGATTTTATATTGATTTTTCATGATTACATATGACATCACAGATATGAGACCGACCTACTATGAAATGTACAACGGCAGCATACCGTATGCTGTCCGCGTGAATCAAGTTCTGGCGTGGCTTGATATGGACTCGGCAGATCGCCCCCAATTTATCACATTGTATCTAGAAGAGCCGGACAAAGCAGGCCATTCATATGGGCCAGTCGCAGACGAGGTGAAAGCTTACATTTCGCGCCTTTTCGCCATCCACATGTTTATTTTAAGTTTACGTGGTTTAGTATTGTCTACGTCCCTCCATTGCATACGTACTACCTCCGACCACATTCTCTCTTCTAACCTTTCTCCAGTTTTTCCTTTCTCTTCATTCTGTCACGCATTAAATTGCATTTTTTCTACACACGCTATCATTCTCTCTTGCTTTACTGCTCTCACCTACATATTAAATATAAATAAAATAAATTATAATTAAATTGTTATTAACATAATATAGTCATGTTCAATTATTATGTATTAAATTGGTAGTTACGCCATCTTTGGGATTAAAAATTTACTCATTTCTGCACAGGTTAATGAGCGGCTAGCCTATGCAGATAGTTATATTGAGTTGCTGATGGATGGATTGTTCGAAAGAGGACTACATTCTTGTGTCAATGTCATTGTCTTGGCGGATCATGGTAGGTGTTAGAGGTCATATGATAGCCTCTTGAACTGTGGGTAGTGAAAATTTACTCTGTAGGCCTATGTGAATAAATACGTAACCTTTCGATTTTTTACGTGTCGTTATTTATTGGTATTATTTTATCAACATTTTAATTTTAAATGTTTATGAGCATAGTATTATAATAATAGCACTCTCTCTCTCTCTCTCTCTCTCTCTAAAAGCGATTCAACCCTCTTTCACACATAGAAGCATGCTCGCACGCACACGCACACGCACGCACACGCACACACACACCGACATATATGCTTAGATTTCTCAATCTGTTATCTGTGCTAACCCGAACCTAGAGTACTTTGTATCGTTTTCATATATATAAACACATATAGAGCCTGGACATGGACTATGTACCGAAATATTATGACTGATATTCCTAAATAGCGAGAGAGAGAGAGATCGAGAGAGAGAGAGAGAGAGAGAGAGAGAGCACAAGCAGGGGCTCGGAAACACGCTAATTAGCCTCCGCACTAACAAGCAGCCCTCCCATCCAAAACCCAAATCCTCAGAGGCGACCCAAATTTCCCCCTCCACGCGTTGAATGAGACGGTCAGCTACGTCATAAACACATTAAAATACGTGTACTACACGTATATATACAGACGTACGTACTTACCCCCAATTTGCTCTCTACATACGTCACAAATATCTTTTCGATAGTGGCGCCCACCTCATAGATGCCAACACTGATCATTGAGAGATAGTAATGATTTTTTTTTATTGCCGAAGGCGTTTGGGGTGGTGGGTTAAGGGAGGGTGATGTCCCCCTCCCTTTAATGGGGGTCTGGGGGTTCTCCCCAGGATTAAAAAAATGGAAGGCATTCGGTGCATCCTGGAGCCATTTGGGCATTGCTTTGAATCCTTTCAAACTGAACAATTTTCCCCCACAAAATACAAATATTCACCAAAATGTATAGTGTAACGTTGAAATATGTTTGATATGTATGAATAAAGAAAGAATCCAACCTTGTGTATTAAACTGAATAAACCTTAATATCTTACTCACAATGTAGTCACATCTTGCACACAGAGACAAAGAAACGCGCACACGCGCTTAAGCGCGTGTGCTTACTCTCGCGACCACAACCAGACTCCCCCGACTCCTACATCTCTGTCCCTCAGCCTACCACACATCTCTCCCCCAAATATATAACTAACCCCCAGCCCTATGTCCCTACGCTCATTTCACAATGACCCTAGAAACGCCCAACCTAAAACACGTTTACCATTCTCCCTATACATAAATGTAGCCGCACAAGACGACGCTCTGTCTACATAGATTACCACTAAAACAACCCCGAGTCTAGCCGCACTCCGCGTCTCTAACTAATTTATGTAACATTTGTAAAACATATGTTACAGTAGTGAATGTGATTGTAATTCAGACACACAAAAAACTTTTAAAACTTTAATGTCATTAATGGTCATATAATAACATATAATAATTATGGTCATGGTCATATATTAGTTTGTGGTTTAATGTCATTTAGGTTAGGGTTAGGGTTAGGGTTAGGATTATCAATCATTAATCATTAATCATTAATCATTAATGATATCAAAGTTGGGAACACTCCTAATGGAGCGTTAGCCCATAAAACACATTGCTTACCATGCAAAAATCCTGTACAGGGCATACAATTAGTGTCACAAAATGAGCCCTTCATAGTCCACAGTCAGTGTCACACAAAGTCCACAATCTGAATCAGTGTTACAAATCCTAAATAGACTGAGTTTAATAATACTAATAATAATAGAGCCCTTCAAAGTTCAATCACAACTCCTTAACAGGCTGAGCCCTTCAAAGTCCCCAGTCAGTGTCACACAAAGTTCACAAAAATGTGTCCGAAATCCTTAACAGACCTCCAAAGTCCACAGTCAGTGCCGCACAAAGTTCACAATCAGTGTCACACAAAGTTTACAGTCACTATACGTTGTCGTAGCTACTTGGCGTTGCATGTCCGTTTACAGCTACTAACGATACCTCTGGGCCACATATATAGCTCATAGGGTCTATGTTCCCCAGGGTACTGCCGGAACGTACCCTGGGTACGGTCCGATATACCGGAACGTACCCTGGTAACTATTTGGTATGGTTAGGGTTAGGGTTAGGGTATAGGGTTAGGTAGTAGGCGTAGGCGACTCCCTAGACTCGTTAGTGGAATAGGCGAGGTACGGTCCGGCATATTAGATAGTACCAGGGTACGTTCCGGCAGTACCCCGGGGGACATAGACCCTCTCAGCTCTAGTATATATAGTAGTCTACGTCTGTCTATACATGCTCTCGGTATGACTTCCAACTGTGAATAAGCAAAGGTAAGCTATTGATTGTTCGCGTTGGCCAGTTTCAGCCGATCAATGGAATGGCGTGAGCGATAGCTGACGATGGCAAATTTGGTATAATGTCCGTTTTTTATTAACCTGGCCCATAGTCTGTCCCTTTTACTGTTATTAGACGTCCTCGGACTTGTTTGCGTTCCGGCGGCCCTGTATCGTTACTTTATATCAGAGTTTATAGAGGCTAGTAACCCACGATCACAATGGAGAAACTCGTCTTGCATAACTATCGAGACAAACGCTGCAAATATACATGACGTTAAATGAGGTTGGGATTCGGCCAAGTTACGACAGGTGGCACATTCATTTCCCCTCTCCGCGTCACCCCTACGGATTTTGCAACATGATGCTTGCGACATTATTTTACACCACAGACATGAAACGATTGGATGCACGTATAGCATTGTATACACCACCCTTGATCAAACGGTTCCCCTCTATATTGCGCATGGGTAATGAAGGTTGGGCGATGAAGGTTGGGAGTTCACAGTCATTATACGCGCATTTCTACACTAGAAGAGGACTGATCGCCGTAGGGGGGATGTAGGCCTACACCCGCGCCCGCCCTCAACAATCAAGGCAGCAGCTCGCAACTCCGTACGCGCGCACCAACGACGCTCGCTTGCGGGGTTTACACTATCGAAAAGTCGACGAGTTGATAACCCTTTCAACGTTCTATCAGCCTTTCTATCAGATGTTCACCGGTTTTACATTATCGACCGCGAGTTGGCAAACGTTTCCACATTTGACCCGCAGTATATGCGCGGGGGCGACGTGGATACGCATTTTTTCAGTGTGGCGCCGATAGCAAAATCGCGCGCGCAAATACTCAGTACTCTCCATCTGGGCAGAGGGGGGCACCTCCTGATTGCTATTATCGGAGTGGCTGCGTGGCAGAAAGTTGATCGCTCACAAAACGTTGAGAAATTGGAACATGTTCTAACCTCTCAACTAGTTGATATCAACCAGTTGAGCGCTAAACTTTTACGTTTACACTGCCGACTGTCGGTCGATTAGTTGAAAGGTTTATAAACTCGTCAACCTTTCAGCAAAAAGTTGATAGTGTAAAACCAGCTGATTGTTCATACACATGACTGTGTGGACATTGCGGGATGTTGCCGCTATGGATCTCTCTCTCTCTCTCTCTCTCTCTCTCTCTCTCTCTCTCGTTCTCTCTTTCTTTCGATCTCTCTACACACACACACACACACACCACCACACACACGCACAACACACACCACACACACACACACAGCACACACGCACACAACACACACACCACACACACACACACACACACACACACAACACATGCATCTGCCTGTTTCCCGCGTTGAAATATCAAGCACTTCGATTTTTGCTAGAGGAGTTGGTCTCGCCTGCACTACTGTAACCATAGTAAAACCAAACTGTGTTTCAAAACACCAACGCGTTGAGCGCTACGGCGTGCATTTACTGTTACGCCAAAGCACCGTATATCATATACGATATATCATATGACGATTATATCATATCAAGAGTCCATATAGAAATGTAGTCTATATATATATATTTATTATATATGATATATATAACCTGACGTACAAAATGCACACACGGACTCGCTGCAGGAGTCAGACTTGATAATACCCTTATGCGAAGCATTTGTGGTAGTGCATGCCACAACAATTCTATATCGCAGATCGGTCTGACCGCACGAAGAGACGTAGGCCCTAACTTAATGGAAGATAATTGGTCATCTAGACTTACTTCGCCCGTAGCGACTAACTTTCCTCATCTCACAGAGAAAGCAGGCACGAATAAATCAAATAATACGAATAAACGATGTTTATAGCGCCATCTAATGAGGATAATAGCAGCTTAAATGATCGCTCCTGCTGCTGGCCTCATCTTTTTACGCAGACGGCGGGACATATTTAGGACAATTATACCGTCTCGTCTCCGGCGGTGCTCGTTGTGATGTCTGTTTAATTGATGTACGCTTTGTTGATATAGCAAAACGTCATACGCGGGAGTGTCGTCTGTAGACACGACCACACACGCACGACACGCACGCCCCCAACACACACACACGCCAACACCACACACATGCACGCGAGCATGCTGCAGACGTACACACGACGCACAGACGTACACATGCACGGCCGTACGCAGCACACGCACGCACGACACGCACGCACGCACGCCACGGCGACGCTTCCGCAATGCGGTTGAACAGGGAGCAACAAGACGAGTTCGCATTATCAGAGCCATGGTACAATACGTCATGGAAAATACTGGCTAAATAACAGCAGTTATTAGATCCGGTTCTTATATCCGGTTTCGCGTGACGGGCTCAAAAATCTTTTGCTCATAGGGAAAACGATCCCAAGAGCCATGGGTAAGAAAAGGCGCTCTGATGTTGTTGCAGCACGCGCAACCATAATATATATATATATATATATACTATATCATATATATATAATCTATATAGGTATATATATATAGAGAGGACGAAGAGAGAGAGCAGAGAGAAGAAGAGAGAGAGAGAGAGAGAAGGAGAGAGAGAGACCAGAGGAGAGATTCAGAGAGGGGGGAGAGACCCACCCACACACACACACACACACACACACACACACACGACACACACACAGAAAGAGATGAGAGAGAAAGACACACACACACAGCACACCACACACACACACACACACACACAGACACACAGAGCAGCAGACGACAAGACACGCACACACACAGCACACACACGACATCAACACACACACACACACACACAACAACACACACACTACACACACACACGCGTGCGCCCCACACACGCACACACACACACACACACACACACACACACACACACAACACACACACACCACGCACACCCATACATACACACACACGCGCGCCCACACGTCGGGTATAGTAGCTAGGTCGGTATATAGTAGTCGGTCGTAGTAGTAGTATTAGTAGTAGATTAATTATTGTTTATTGTACATTGCGTTCTAATTAACCAGTGGCGCTTCTAGCCAGACGAGGCTAGTTGCGACTAAGTCCATACTTCTAACCCTGTCAATTATTGTTTGTTATTGTAATGACATGGACGTCGTGCTCGTATATATACGTGGCCCCAGCCCCGCCACCATAATATGATTACAGACGCGCGTTAATATGTCACTAATAGTAGAGAAGCTGGTGAGAAACTGCCGTTTCGGCATTGTAAGGCGTCCGGGCTGTTTTAGGCAGCGATATAAAATTAATAGGCACGACATACAGAGAGTCACACCATTAGAATAGTAATTATTAGATTCAAGTTATTATATGGGGAGTGACACAGTTACTATCGTAGAGAGCCAGAGAGGAGATCGATACGAGCGCGCGAGGCTAGCAGTGGTGCCTAGGCTGTGGTTTTGTATATGATTGTATATGTGTCAAATAATAAAGACAGAAGTTACCTACAACTAATCTGCGACTCTGTCTCATTCGGAACCTCGACTAACGAGCTCTGCAATCATCTGCGACGACTCTTCGCTACGATCTCATCTACTTTGCTAGAATCTGCTTACTCTGCTACATCGCCCTACCTACGCTGGCTATACATTCTACGAGAACCTGCTGGAGATTATCACCCAAACAGAAGTACAAATATTAGACAAAATTGTTGTTTCTAATGCAGGTTGCATCTGTTATCGGGTTGTCATTGTTTCTGGTATCTACGTTGGCAACATGATACAAGCCAAGCCTGTTACGCGAACAAGCTAGACAATTGTAAGTATAAGAACATAACACCGTAACAATAAAAACAGTATACGCATGAGTATAATATTAAACATAACAGTATAATAGTATGACAGCGGGCTGTATAATAGTATATAAAACAATAAACACCAGGACCTATAACATGGGCAATCCCTGTTAATTTAATGTTTATCGTTTCAATTAATAATTGTATAACTCGAGTAACACTCATGTTCCATCATATATATACCTATATAGTATATATATTAACATCGCAGGCCATGACTGCAACCACAATAAAGACATCCACGCTGACAAGCAAACTATTAAACTGCGCCACGCGCAACGGACGTCTACTTCACCCACTCAGACTGACGAGACGTCAGCACGACTGCATCAAGCTTCCTGGCGAGATCAACCATGTATTGCGGAGAAACAATGTCCTGTGAAGGGTAGGGCAAGGCGAGGGTGACTGCATTGAATACAATCAAGGACCATAATAGAAAACTCTATCATGGACTCTTTATATAAGCAATGGAATACAGAGAAATAATATAAAAGCCTGATCATTGGTTTGGGATTTTTTCAAATAATTGTCTCTACCCTTTTATTCACAGTGTTTTCCATCGTGGCAGGATCTACACGCGTGGCAATAGGTGCTGTGTGAGATGTAGATGTTACTGAATACGCTTAAACGTCGCCAGTACACAATAATTGACTGAATAATGCTAAAACGGATGTTTATCAGCTTTTTTAGCGACATCAACGTTTCTCTGTTGCAGTTTTTCTGAGTCACCAGTGGATTCTGGTTCACTGGATGGATTTCGTGCCGAATATCTGCTGAGGAATTTCACTCCTACTTTACAGAGATTGCGGGAGTGTGGGCCCATGCCACACATGCGTGCCTCCTACCCTTCAAAGACCTTCCCCAATCACTATTCCATTGTCACGAGTGAGAACTTCTCTTGTAGTTTTTGTGCGCGTGTGTCAGCATCAACTGTTTTTAAAATCGAGCATTGAGCTTAATGCAGTACGATAATGTTCCACTAGTTAATGTTGCTACAAAACAATTACAATATTTTGTATGGAAAATATTCTGTGTACTGGCTTTTGCGGATCACTTGCATAATGTTTACAATGCACAGTTTTGCAACATTTTAATGTTTGTATGTATACAACATACAGGGTCTATATCCCGAGTCACATGGAATCATAGATAACAACATGTATATCCGGAGTTTGGGGCTTCGTTTAGCCTGGGTTCTCCAGAATCGTTAAGAACCGATGTGGCAAGGAGAGCCGGTATGTGTTATTATTCACTTAGATTCGGTAAATAGTTACTCTCTGAATAAACACTAGATAATGGCCCTCGTGTGAGTAGGTAGACGACATAATATAATTTGCAATCAAAGCTGCTGTTATTAGCATGACATTCAAAGTCTCATTAAATTCTAAATAACTCGTTTAATAGTGCAAATTAGTTGTAATTTGTGCATGTCATCAGAAATACAGATAACCATGAATGTATTACGTATTCATGATGTCATTTATGTGCGTGCATCGCGCCACACGCATTTGCGTGCATAAGCGCGTTCGTGAGCGAAGTTGGGGAAGTGCGCGTGTGCCTACTATGTGTGAGTATGTGAGTGGGCGTGCGCGGTGCGTGCATGTGCGGATGCATGAAATCAAGAGCTAATAATACCTTTAATACCTTTAATACTTTTAATACCTTTAAGGTATTATTAGCTCTTGATGAAATGTGTATGTATATAAACCGAGTGTCAAATAACATTGGAGAATTTGATGTTATTGCCAGGTTTGGAATACAATCGAAAAACAAAACAAGAAGGCTGCTACGTTCTTTTGGCCAGGTTCCGATGTTGATATACAGAGTACGTACGCCCTTTGATATTGTGTTTTTAATTTGATTTTTAAAAGCAATACAATGGATTTATAAACAGCTGCTTATAAGCGACCTACAATAACTCTTAGCATTCTTATATTATAACGAAAGACAATCAAGACATTTCGCAGATATTACGAAAATGAAATGGTTGTAAAATATTTAGATTTTATATTGATTTTCATGATTACATATGACATCACAGATATGAGACCGACCTACTATGAAATGTACAACGGCAGCATACCGTATGCTGTCCGCGTGAATCAAGTTCTGGCGTGGCTTGATATGGACTCGGCAGATCGCCCCAATTTATCACATTGTATCTAGAAGAGCCGGACAAAGCAGGCCATTCATATGGGCCAGTCGCAGACGAGGTGAAAGCTTACAATTTCGCGCCTTTTCGCCATCCCCATGTTTTTTTTAAGTTTACGTGGTTTAGTATTGTCTACGTCCCTCCATTGCATATACGTACTACCTTCGACCACATTCTCTCTCCTAACCTTCCTCCAGTTTTTCCTTTCCCTTCATTCTGTCACGCATTAAATTGCATTTTTTTTACACCGCTATCAATCTCTCTTGCTTTACTGCTCTCACCTACATATTAAATATAAATAAAATAAATTATAATTAAATTGTTATTAACATAATATAGTCATGTTCAATTATTATGTATTAAATTGGTAGTTACGCCATCTTTGGATTAAAAATTTACTCATTTCTGCACAGGTTAATGAGCGGCTAGCCTATGCAGATAGTTATATTGAGTTGCTGATGGATGGATTGTTCGAAAGAGGACTACATTCTTGTGTCAATGTCATTGTCTTGGCGATCATTGTAGGTGTTAGAGGTATATGCTAGCCTCTTGAACTGTGGGTAGTAAAATATTACTCTGTAGCATGTGAATAAATACGTAACCTTTCGATTTTTTACGTGTCGTTATTTATTGGTATTATTTTATCAACATTTTAATTTAAATGTTTATGAGCATAGTATATAATAATAGCGTAGCATAGCATTAGTAAAATAATAATTGTATGTATATATAATTATATATATATATATATATATATATATATATAATTTATATATATATTCATTTTCATTGTAATTTATTAGGCATGGCGCCGCATTCCTGTCAACGAGTTGAGTTCCTCCAGGATTACATCAACCTCAACAACCTGTACATCTATCAGGGACCAAATGCCAGAATTGATCTGATGGAGAAAAGCCTTTGTAAGTCGCACTATAATTGTTACAATTATTAACATACATTATTTCTATAGGCTATAGCATTCCATAAATGTTCTATCGTGTTATTTATATTCAATTTTATTTTATTTTTATTTGAACATATATCAAAAGCAGTAAAAACACGCGTAATCCTTTTCCTAGCTTCAAGCGACAATTTCTGTCTGTAAACAGACACCCCCCCCACCACCACCACCCACCACCACACACACACACACACACACACACACACACACATACACACGCGCGCGCGCACACACATAACACGCAC